GAATGTTTTTAAGGTGAATGTTTTCTGACTTAGCTGTTTGGGGAGAAATTCTGTATTCTGTGCTTGCTCTGTCTCCCTTTTACAAAAACACACCTTTAGAGGTGTTTAGGATAGGGACTGCTGTTGTCTCAGTTGCCTGGTTTCATGAGAGTGGAGCTGATTCTTCTACAGAGCAACTATTTCTTGAATGAAAGGCAGTGATTGTGTCCAGCCATATTCATCAATTCAGTGCAGGCCTAAATTTGGCCGTAACTGTGAGCAGACAAAAAGTATGGATGACTAAACCAGTACAATTTATTTTTTGGAGGGATGTCTCAGCATTTTTAGTGAAGTTGGATGCCTATCATAACATGCTGAGTCCTTTGAAACCTCACTGCCTTAAGTGCCCTTTGCACTTCTCAAGGTACATCCAGCATGATTTAAGAAGACAGCTTCAAATGACCTGTTGAAGTTTTATAATTGAAACAAAGTAAAATGTGAGATAAAACTTTGGCTTTAACTTTCTGTCATAATAAGAAGCATGACAGCTCTCTGTCCTGACAGCATAACCTCTTTTCATCTTACCTCTTAATATCTCCAATCTTCCTTTAGACTCTAAAACCTGTCCTTGGATTTGACTGAAATCACCAGACATGACAGAATCTGACTAAAATATAGTTGGACTTGATGATCTTAGAGGTCTTTTCCAACCTTAATAATTTTAGGATTCTATGAAATATACACCCTATATCAGATCTCTTAGAGAAGAGCTACATGGGGAGCTGCTCCAGTACAGCAAACAGATCAAACATGCAGATAAAATAATTTGTAGAGCAAAGAATATCTTGGTGTGAATTAATCCTGGATCAGACACATGCTTGACAACCAGATATAAAAGGCAAATTCCTTATTATTTTTAAAGTGTTAGAAGCTATTCTGGTTAGCTGACACATAAATGAAGAGAACCCTGGTAATGCAATTATTACATATACACAAATCAACCGATTGTCTTCAGGAACTATGAGTTTAAAGTTAGTTTTACACAGTGATGACATGTCAACTTTTCTTCTCACCCCTGCTAAATCCTCTGCTGTGTTTCCACAGAGCCTGCTGTTACTTGGTGCAGAACAACTCTCTCTAAAGGCCTGAGCTTTGCTAACCCTGGCTGAGTGTTATCAGCTGGGTCAGATGGGACCAGAGAGGGCAGCTTGACCTCTGCAGCCCCAGGAGCACGTGAAGGCTGCTCTTCTCTTACTCAAGAGGCTCTGCACATCTGAGGTCACTGAGGAAAGAGGACCTCAGAGAAAAATCCATGTCCTTCTCTGCCACGGGCTCCTTGGGCCAGGGGATGGAAGACTGAGTGCTCTTGCTTGTGGCCAAGGCCTGTCCCCGGGGCTGTTTCTTAGCCTGGGTGGCTACCTTAGCACGGTGGCTAGGGTCTTCCTTGACTTTGGTCTCTCAGCAGAGAGATCCCCTGGAGTTTGAGACAGGTTGACATACAGATGTCTTCCCTGCTTCTGAAGGAGCTCAAAACCTTTCAACAGATGATTTCACTGCAGCACAGCTGGCTCTCTGGTGGCTGCCATGCCTTCCTCCTTGCTGCATTACCAAACAACTTTTTGCTCACATACTGTCACAAAATTTGCCTTAGCATGTGAGTGCAGCAACATCCAAATCCTGGCAGGATTCAGGAAACCTGAAATTTTGGTCTAAGGTCATCATCTTGATTAGAGTGAATATAAAAATACAGAAGTATAAAGGCTGAAGACTACCTCTGCTTTCTTGAAGAACCACCACCTCTGAGGCAAGCAATGAGTACACAGTCACATTCAGAAATTTCTCACTACAGCCAATCTCATCTACATTCAGAGAAAAGAAGAGGTATCAAACTACTACAAGCAGATTTAATTCTTTGACTGGCACTATGGAAGAGTGGGCAGTTCTAAAGACAAATACTCTTGGGATGGTTACACCTTCATGTGAAAACCAAAGCTGTTTATCTGGGTGTAGGAGCAGTGGTATAGAAAAATGAGTTCTAAATTCTTCTAAATTCTCAGTTCTGCACTGCGGGTGGAAGTCGTATTTTTAACCTCTCAGCAGTGCCTGCACAGAAACTATTAGAGCAGCACATGCCTCATCAGATTCTTCTTCAACTTACTATTTTTCCAGAAGTACATAGTATTTGAAAAAATTACCACCTTTGCCTCCCTTTTCAGAAGACTCAAGTCACAGAACCCTGGAAATGGAAGATGGTAGAGATGGACTCGGTCATGAGTTTGGCCCTTGCCAAGAAAGAGCTCTCTGCAGCTCAATACTAAGCTCACTGCAAGCTCCAGAATTCTTGTTCTTGGGTCAGTCTATCCTTAATAAGGTTCCTTTGATCTGTATGGATTTTTTTTTAAGAAAGAAAAAGGCAAAATTACTCACAGGCTGATTCTGCCTGCTTTGTCCACCTCTTAGGAAAGGGAGACAAAGACACTGAAAATTATGGCTACACCTCTTGTCTGTGCAAGATGCCTCTTGGCATGGAAGGTGTAAACCTTTAGCAAATAAAGCCTTCTGCTATGAAGTGCTGAAGTCCTGAAGGATTAGAGATTACCTAACAGGAATTACAAGGAAAATGTTACTTTCACTTAAACTTTCTAGTGAGATAGAATATCCCTTATTAGAATTATTCTCAGGTTATTACACCACTGAAGAAAACATTGCTTTTGCTCTACACATCTTGCCTTACTCCTATCTGTGTATCATCAAAGCTACTGGATCACTGACACTATTCTTAGTGTTACCAGTTTCTTCTCTGCCCCACCTCTCTCTTGCAAGGAGTGGTACCAATTCTTAGTTTCCTGTGTTTGCAACCAGCAGGGAATAATGCAGAGCACTGAATAAGAAGTCCAGATGTTGTGCATTGTAGATTCCCTTTTAGTGGCACCTGACAATTAAAAAGTCTGACAGCTCTGCTTTTTGCCCTGGAAATAGGATGAAGCAGCATGTGCTTCATACCAGCTTCTTCTGATACTAAAAGGAGAAGAATTAGCACAAAGAAGAATTACCTTCTTTTTCAGATGAAGGGTTTGTACTGGTATTGCTAAATACATTCATATTTTTTTTTAGCTATTGCTAAAGACTTTCAGACTTTGGATTACTGAGGTTTAAAAGCATATGCATAAGTTGGATTGAAATTCAGAGGCAACTTTGGCATTTCTTCATATAATTTGCTGAAATCTCTCTTAGTTATTGACTAGGGAAGTATGAGAAGAAATAAAAGCTGTGGTTAAAGATTGACACATGTAATAAATGTCAAATATGCCTTGAATTACCAGTGTAAAACAATGATGTTTGTAAAACAATGGCATTTACAAAACAATGGCCTTTTGCATAAATAATACATTACTAACTCAACAGATTAATTATTATAAACTCTAAAGGTTTCCCTTTTCCACAGCAGTTAGTCCCAGAGAGACTCAAGCAGACACTGGTAACACATGCAGGCAAGGACTCACTCCCTCTCCCTGCAGTCTGGATGCCCTGGGGTTTTAGCAAGTGACTACTGGCCACTGCTGTGATTAATATTTCTACTGCTTCACATTTCTGGTTAGTTTTCAGTTTTATTTGCTAGGTAGCTGTCACGTGTATGCAACAGAGAGGGACAACCCACAATGAATTCAAACCAGATGTTTGGAGACCTTATTCTGCACAGTCCTGCAATTCAAGTCTGGATTTCTAGCTACCAGTGTTACAATGATGTAATATCTGGCCATAAAACTATATGGGATGACAATTTAATGTTGTGAAAAGAAGAACACTTACCTTTATCAAAAATTTCTTTCAGCACTCCTCGTTTTATAAGCTCCTCTCTGCTTTGCCTCATTGATATTTTTCTTTCCAGAGCTGCAAGTGAAGGAGAAGAGTCAATATAAATAGAAAAGAAGGGAAACAATTGTTTTAAAAGGCTCTGTGCCTTTAAGCATTTAAAAAATGCTTTTCCTCCTTTTGAAGTCAGTGGCAAATTAGCATCTCAAAATAAAGGCTACTGGCAGCCCAGAGGATCTGCCTGCTGCTGGTGCCTGGCAGCTATTGACAGAAACGGTTCCAGACTGACCCATCCGAGGGCATCTCTGCTCTCCCATTGCTTCATTTTGACACATGACCCAAGCACCTCTGTGGGGAATTAGAGACAGCAAAGGCAGAGAAAGGCAGTTAGTGCAGAAGTCACAGAGGGAAAGTAAGAAAGGAGGCAAGGCGAAGGATCACATCAATGAAAGACATGGCCATGGACTGTCCCCAGGCCACAGAAGAGGACCTCAAGAGTTATTTTCCTCCCGGGGGGGGGGTGTTTGCCCCCCAAAAAGGCATAAACGAGGGAAAATCCATGAAAGCCATTGTGATTTACACCGGTCTGAGCAGCCTGAGCCTCGTGCTACCTGCCTGGAGACCGTGGCCACCGGGGTGGCAAAACGACAGACAGAAATATCATGTTTGTTCAGTTCAGCGGTAATTAAAACAACGTCCAATTAACCAAAGCACCACAAAGGACATGCATTCAGGCAAAGAGCTGAAAGCCAGCAAGCAAGGGGCACAAGGAGTGCTGTGAGGGAGCGGCTGTGCACGCTCTGTGAGAAACAAGCCCATGCCTGCCAAAAACCAAGGCACAGTCAAGGGCGGATGGCTCCTGCCATATGCTCCCCTACCAGACCCAGCACAGATCCACGCACACACTGGGACTTCCCATCAGCCTGCCCAAGGCTGACTGAAAGCAAAAGAGGCTTTGAAACCCTCTCTCCATCCTGGAAAATACGAGGGTGCAATTTCTTCTGCAGGGTGTTCCTGCAGGGGCCCAGACCTGGGGGTTACCCTGACACGCTGCACTCACTGCAGCTCCTCTGCTGTCAGATACTCCCTGCTTACTACCAACAGGACCAGCTCTGCTTCACTCTTTTCCATAGGATAAATGCAGTTTTCTGCATTTCAACACGTTTTGAAGGTGTATTCTTCAGGACAAAGATGGCCAGTAGGTACTCTCAGTAGCTAACAAAACCCCTGGTCTTTAAAACTCACCCTCTGAACTCCAGCATCGATCAGAATTAATGGCAGGTCCCTTTGCTGAGGGCACAAGACTCTGTGTCCATTAGCCAAAAAAAGAGTAGAGTTTTATTCAGAAGCTGTAGACTTAACAGCATTTTCCAGAGGACCTTAGCACCATTTGAAGAAGTTTTTTAGGCACCTCGCTGACTTTCAACAAAACTTCGATTTCTAAATTTCTAATATGCTTTTGAAAAGAAGTACCCAACAATGAGACTCTGGAGTTGTGCTGCAGACTGCTCCCTGAGCTGCCTTTTCCCTCTGCTGAAGGAGTCTTGTGTGGTATGGAATTTAAAACCTTCTCCTCTTCCTCCTCAAGAACTGCTGCCCTCAGTCCCTCAAAAAAACAAGCTGCAGCGAACTCCTGAGCTTTCTCCCACCAAAGAAATTCCTCAGACCCTGAGTGACTTTAGAGAGCAACTTGGTGGCACCCAACACTTTTTGCAGGAGCTCTGAGAAAGTGTCATTTTCTGTAAGTGCAAGCAGCAAATAGCACCGAGTCTGTCCCAGCTTGTTCTTCAAGGAGAGATCAAGTCGGGTGAAACAGCAGCAAAGCAGCAGTTTCTGCATATAAAGAACAGCAAGGCTCAAAACCACGGGCAAAATACTGCTATTTCTGTACTTTACCATAAAGAGCTAAATAAGAGATCCACATTTCTCATCCACATTCACTGCCATCCCCCAGGTTTAGCATCTCAGCCTCCTGCCTTGTCAACAGCTGGCGATGCAAGGTAGCAGCACTGCTGCTGACTTCATGGCCAGCAAGTCCCACCACATCATCAAAGTACTGGTAAGAAACATGGTGATTTTGTGGACTGGAGTTAAGGCTTCTGGGGGATCATGTGTCAAACACGGCTAGCAAGACATTTGGAAGAAGTGCAGGAGCACGTCTCCCAGAACAGCTGCTGGGGAAGACTCGCAAGTATTGACCAAGACTTCTCAAAGTCATGGACCGTTCTTGAAGTCTAGAAGAATTTTTAACATAGAATATACATTTTTGGAAGACTGTATATATGTAGAGTCTAGAGAAGGGTGAAGGGTCTAGAGAATGAGTCTTCTGAGGAGCAGCTGAGAAAACTGGGGTTGTTTAGCCTGGAGAAAAGGAGGCTCAGGGCAGATCTCGCTCTCTACAACTCCTTTGTTTTAGAATGGAGGTTGGAGCGAGGTGGAGGTTGGGCTCTTGTCCTATATTGTTGTAGAACAAGAGGAAACAGCCTCACATTGTGCCAGGGGAAATTTTAGGTTGGCTATTAAGAAAAATCTTTTCCTCAAAATGGTTGCCAAGCCCTGTCCCAGGCTGCTCAGGGCAGTGGTGGAGTCCCCACCCCTGGAGGGGTTTCCAAGCTGTGGAGATGTGGTGCTGAGGGACATGGGGCAGTGGGGACCTGGCAGTGCTGGGGAGCAGTTGGACTTGATGATCTTAAAGGTCTCTTCCAAGCAAAACAATTAGATGAATCTGTAATTCTATGGGCTTTTCAGACACTCTCTTTTAGTTGTAATCTGCCTCTGCTCAAGGATGAACAAAAAAAAAAACACAATCCCTTCAGTTTGAAGCTCAGACTAAAACAATTTTTTTCAGTTTCTAAATCCTTTCTAAGTAGGTACAGGACTTAAAGTATTAATTATTTTCCTGCTAAGCCAGTTTAATTAATAAGATATTTAGAGGAAGGGCATGCTGGGCTAAGAGCACCACTGAATGATAATAACAGATGTCATACTAAAACTATGGAACATGCTGCCTGCCTTTTATACAGATCTTCCTCCTAGAGAAGCCTCGTACATCTAAGTGCAGCAAATGCTGTGCTGCTGCCGGATCAGATGGAAAAAACATCACAAGTGCTTAGATGCAGAACTCATTAGGATCTAACAGCCTGAACAATGAAATGTTTTACTGGGTCTGGATTTCTTTGGCAAACGTTGCCAGTTCTTTTAGGAAGGATTTTCTTTTCAAGCACGAAGCTGATACAAAAATAAATTCATTCACTCTGCACTGAGAAGGAATCCATTCACAGCAAAGGATAAATAAAAACCTCTGAATTAATCCTTGATTCACGAGGACCTTGTAAATTATGTGATAGGGAAAAATGAAATATAATTAATATTTAACAAAAGATGCATTACTTCACTGGTGATTTCCTTTAGTGATTTTTCATTTGTACAATCTTCCAGGAGATTAGAAATAAACATAAACCCTCTTTATGGCTACGTGCCAAAACCTGGTTATCTTAACAAATTCATTCATTCTCCACGAAACTCTCATTTACTAGCCTGTAGAAATGTATATTTTATGGTATAAGCACACAGGTTTTGCCCAGGTGCTCTGCTGGACGCTGTTTCTTTAAGCTCTGATGAAGAAACAGTGGGAAATAGTTTTTGTTAATGTTTCTGAGCTGGTGTTTTTGAACCCATCCCTCAGGAGCAGCACCCCTCCGCCGTTCACGCAGAGCTTTTCTCTGTGGCGTGCCCATTAGGATCAGTAAAGCCCTGACAGGGTCAGGAGGATTTCCTGCCCCTCCGTTCTGGAATTCAAGCATGGTTTTGCCTTTGTTCCTTTAATAAGCCCTTGTGCACGGCTGTGGGCTGCTCCTCCAGCTGAGAAGGTGAAGCTCACTGCTGCCTCTGTGCCAAGAGCTTCTGCTGCTCCATTAACCAGCCAAAGAGGCGTTTATGCAGTCAGGACATGAGACCTTTCTGTCCCTCCCATCCTTCCCTCCAAGACCAAACCATCTCAGAGGAACTCCTCCAACCCGCATCCATGCGAGAACAAACTGGCATCCTTTGCTTAACTTGTCATGTTGCTGCTTGAACTGAGGGGTGGGCTAATAAACAAGTCCTGCCCTTCCTTCTCATCTGACAACCAACTAAACCCCAGCCTGTGCCTGCAGTTGAATCTTAACCTCTCTGTTTTCTGAGGTTGCCCTTGGCCTTTGTCCTAAAAAGCGCTGGGGTTTGCTTTGCATGAATCCTTCCTTTCAAAGGCCACTATAATTTTCATGATGATTTTAGGAAGCAAAGGAATGAGGATTAGAGCAGAAGCCTTCTGGTACATTGAATATATTTGGATTTAATAGGCAGAAATTTGTTTTGCTAATAATTTACATCTGAATAATCAGAAACAAGTAAACCAATTGCTTTGCACAGCGTTAAGAAAAACAACCATCAATATTTCCTTTAGACTTGCAAGGAAGAAGAAGCTTTCAGATGTTATGGATTATGCATCAGAACATGTTACACCATCCTGAAATTCTTCCAGCTATGTAGACTTCCTTGATAATCAAATGGAGCAGGGTTTGTCTGGTTCAAATTTTTAGAGTGTGGGCTTCTGCCTCTGAGCAGGAAGAGCAAGTCTTGGTCATGATTGACCTCAGCCTAATGGAAGCATCCAAACCAGCCTGAACTGCACCTTGGAAGTGCCTGCTAGTCTTTATGGACTGTGAGGGAAGCTCAGGGTGAGTAACTGAGATAAAGATGCATAAAATATGGGCTGAATCCACTCCTGAAATCAAAACTGATTGAAGAAGGTAGTCTGAAGAAAAGAAATGGTTCTGTGAATAAAAGTCTCAGATGGAGCTGAAGAAAATGTGGATGTGTCAGCTCACACAGAGCTCCATTAATTTGAGATTGTTTCCATAGCTGTGGCATGACACCCAGCACTGCTGTTGTGAGCTTGGGGCTTGGCCAATGACAGAACATGGCTTGGTTGAAACAACTGATTTGCTTTGCTCAGTGCTGAATATGAATTTTGCTCGGCTTCAAACACTCTGAAGTCTCTTGAAGCCTGGGGAAGAA